CCCCACCCCTCACCCAGGTGGTACCCCACCCCTCACCCAGGTGGTACCCCACCCCTCACCCAGGTGGTACTCCTGCACGGTGTTGAGGAAGCCGTAGACGGGGGAGTAGCCGAAGAAGACGAGCATGAGGTCATCCTCCGCCCCACCATCCCCGGGCACCACCACCCCTGCAGCACCCATCACCGCGATGGGGGCACACAGTCCTCCACCTCGGCCCCTCCTGCGTCTGCACTCTCCCCCAAGCCCCCCCAAGTTGTCCACGGGGGGGCCGAGGTTCGCCGAAATGCTGTTTGGGGAGTCGGCGTACAACTGCGACTCTGGCAGCGAGTCTTCCTCGTTGTAGGCGTTGCCCCTGGGGAGCTCTTCCCCTTCTTCCTCCCCCGACATCCCGGCTATGGCGTCGGTATCCCCAGAGGGGAGTTCGGTTTGGGCTTTGCGGCGAGAACGCAATTTAGCAACGTCTTCTACACGTGCTGGGCCATCCTGGGACCCGGGGGCTAGACTGTGAGGACCCTGGGCCCCATGTGCGGGACTGTGAGGACCCTGGGCCCCGAGTGCCGGGTCCTGAGCCCAATCTTCGTAGCTGTGGCCCCGTTTTGCTGGGTCCAGGACTTCGAGAGTTCGTAAGCGACCATGGCGCCGACCCTCCCTGTGCTGGCCAAACCAGCGGGGCCGCAAGTTCCCCTTAGTGCCTCCCCAGTTGTACAGTCCTCCCCAGTCCCGCTCGTCCCCCGACTGCCCCTCGGTTTTCGACGGGGGCAAGAAGCTTAAGTCTTTGCCGATCGCAACGCCTGTCAGAAAAGGCGCTTTTGTCTGGCTGTTTCTATTGGTATCGTGGATATTATAACTATTTTTGCTGTTGCTGCTGTTATCGTCATTGGTGCTGTGAATTGCTGCTATATTCTTGTTGTTGTTGCTGGGGAACTGAGCCTCGTATAAGTCTGGATATTTCTCGCGTATATAGGAGATGAAATCACCAACTCTTTCCGATGATGGTGACGATGGAGACGATGGGATGGACGATAGGGAAGACGCTTGAGACAAGGAGGATGGTTGAGACGATGAAAAAGACTGAAACGACGGGAGAGACGTTTGAGATGATGAGGGAAATGGAGGAGACGACACGGACAAGTGCAAGGCACTGGCTTGTGCGGTCTCCTGCAGTTCGTCGTCACTCTCGACCTGAAGAAGTTGCTCATCGTCGGCATGACTTATCAGTTCATGAGCTTCGCCGTCGTTGGAACGTCGCACGTCCCGACGTGTGCCGGGTTTCCTGAGGGCTTCAAAAGACGGGGAGTTGCGTGTGGACCCCCGGCGGCCCGACAGGAGGGTCCACTTTGTGGTCCCGGGGTCGAACTTCCACAGCTGCAGGGACACCGACCCGTCCGCCAGCTGGCCGCCAAACACCAGCAGCGAGCCCTGTCCATCAAGAGATGTAGTGAAACATGTCCATCCTGTACGAGGTATACGGTATTGGAATAATGTATTGGCATATTAGTACTAGTTGATATAAGCACTGGTGCAGCACCGGTGTATATTCGTAAGATATAAGCACTAGTGTATATTTGTACGACTTTACGACTGGGGTCGTGACTGACGTTGTGGTTGAGGGTGACATGGCCGTGACGGGCGCTGGGCTCCCGGTTGCCTTTGCCGACCACCGCCTCCACACCACCACCTGGGGACATGGGGTGGTTAGAAAAGTGTCAGTGAGAGAGTTATGGAAACCAACCCCACAATAATACAAACCTAACATCACAAACTTAACACCACAAAACTAACACCACAATACCACAAAGCTAACGCCCAACACCACAAACTTAACATCACAACACCACAAACCTGTCGCCCCAACCCCACCATGTAGCACAGGCACATTGAGCACCGCAACACCACGCACCCCACCTGAAATGTTGTAGCGCAACAGGAACGGAAGTGGGCTGAAGGTGTGTCCGCCCACCACGTACACCACGTCGCCCACCACCACCGCACCCGCCGACGCCCGCTCCAGCAGTGGGTGGTGCAGCTCACGACCACGAGGAGAGGTGGTGTCGTCACCACCATCATCACTACGACGCCAGCGGCCAATATCTGGTCCCCCTGCATCGTTGAGGTTATTACGATGGAGCACGTCACCCTCACCAGCATCGTCGACACTGACACCGTTACTGTCATCACTTCGTCGCCGTCGCGTGCTGAGAGCTTCACCATCACTAACACTAATAGCATTACTATTGTTGGTATTATCACCAACACTGTTACTAGCACCAGCTCTATCACTAGAGCTAGCACTATTACTAACACTAACACCAACTGTAGCACCAGCGCCAACACTGTCATCACTAGCCGTGGCAACACTAGCACTGGCAACACTAACACTGGCAACAATAGCACTAGCAACACTAGCACTGTCATCACTAGCGCTGGCAACACTAGCACTGTAATCACTAGCACTAGCAGGAACACTTCGTGGTGTTTGACGTGACAGGCGCCGCCGGTCGTCTGCAAGGTGAAAGTTTTCGCGAATGGCTTCGTCTGGATTAAGGTTGGTAATGGCGGTGAAGTGATCGTTCGGGGGGTCATCCATGGCGGGAAATTGATCTGGTGAGAGATCACCTCTGGCGGGGAAGACATTGAGATCTCTAGCGCGCACCCCAGCGTCGACAACAACCCCAAAGTCACGCGGGTTGAAGGCATCATCCCCGTAGGTGTGTGGGGAGAAGTTGTAGCCGTATTTGCTGGAGAAATCGTACGCCGTATCGTGGGGAGACAAAAAATCCCCAACAGAAAATGAATTATCTCTGCTACGTTCATTGTGGGGCCGAAAATCCCCCAAAAATGGGGACATTATTCTCCCTTTCCATATCCTTTCATCCTCTGAGATTGGTGCTAGGATTTGTTCCCAATGATCATCGTGAGGCTCGAGTATGAAACTGCCAACTCTTCTTACAGATTTTGCAGATATTTCAGCTGGTGGATACATGGCTCGGTCATCAGGTGATAAGGGTCCACCTGCTGGGGATGAGTCGTTTGATCCCTCAGCAGGTGTTGAGCTCCCCGTAGGAGTTACAGGAGGTGACACAGCGCTGGGAGAGGAGGCAGGCTCCGAGACAGGGCTCCAGTTGGAGGACCTGCGCAACACAAGACAGCCGTAAGCTTTCCAGTACTACACACTTCGCACTACTCCACGTGTCGGTTCTCATTACAGGTTCACAGTAGCACAGCTGGTTGCTGCAAACTAAGCCTTTTCCATCCACCGGTTCACAACAACTCCCCTTGCTACGCATCATAACCCTGTATCAAATAATACGCCCCATCAGCAGCCTGAGTTCACAATAGAACTAGTGGGTCACCCAAAACCCGATCTGTATTTTCACCAGCACCCACGGCTCCAGACCCTTAACCACCAACTTTTACTCTCACAATCCTGGCCTAAACGACCCCTAAAAGTCAGGTAACCTCGGGCCTCACTAACCTTTTTTTTCGCCTTCTTATACGGTACTTATAGAGCTCTCCTGGCGCCTCTATTTTCCTCGTCGCTCACTTCCCTTCATTTTGCCCACCTTCTCTTCATTTGACCACCTTTCCCACGTCCGCATCTTGAGCCATCCCGACTGCACCCCAGACCCAAAAAGCAATAACACTTATCACCGTTTCTCTACAGTATCCCAGGTTAATACCAACATCTGCGGTTCACACCAGCACCTCTTGGTTCACAGCAGCACCCCACTGGTTCACACCAGCACCTCCTGGTTCACAGCAGCACTCCCTGGTTCACANGGCACGCATGAGTGGCACTCGTGTATGGCACGCATGAGTGGCACTCGTGTATGGCACGCATGAGTGGCACTCGTGTATGGCACGCATGAGTGGCACTCGTGTATGGCACGCATGAGTGGCACTCGTGTATGGCACGCATGAGTGGCACTCGTGTATGGCACGCATGAGTGGCACTCGTGTATGGCACGCATGAGTGGCACTCGTGTATGGCACGCATGAGTGGCACTCGTGTATGGCACGCATGAGTGGCACTCGTGTATGGCACGCATGAGTGGCACTCGTGTATGGCACGCATGAGTGGCACTCGTGTATGGCACGCATGAGTGGCACTCGTGTATGGCACGCATGAGTGGCACTCGTGTATGGCACGCATGAGTGGCACTCGTGTATGGCACGCATGAGTGGCACTCGTGTATGGCACGCATGAGTGGCACTCGTGTATGGCACGCATGAGTGGCACTCGTGTATGGCACGCATGAGTGGCACTCGTGTATGGCACGCATGAGTGGCACTCGTGTATGGCACGCATGAGTGGCACTCGTGTATGGCACGCATGAGTGGCACTCGTGTATGGCACGCATGAGTGGCACTCGTGTATGGCACGCATGAGTGGCACTCGTGTATGGCACGCATGAGTGGCACTCGTGTATGGCACGCATGAGTGGCACTCGTGTATGGCACGCATGAGTGGCACTCGTGTATGGCACGCATGAGTGGCACTCGTGTATGGCACGCATGAGTGGCACTCGTGTATGGCACGCATGAGTGGCACTCGTGTATGGCACGCACTAGCGTCATCTGTTTTTTGACAACAAGCTTGCCGACCTCCTGAGTGTTCCACGTCTCGATGTAAGTAAATTAAACGGTGCGTGGTCCTTGTTGCTTTGCTTCTCAAATGACTTGAAGCACCACCACACACCATCGCGCATTTTAATGCACCACAACTAACACTGATGTACCATTACGCACCATCATACACTATCATGCGCCATCACGCCTCGTAGTCACCATCACGCACTATCAGGCCCCATCACGCACTATCAGGCCCCATCACGCACCATCAGGCACTATCACGCACCATCAGGCAATATCACGCACCATCAGGCACTATCACGCACCATCAGGCACTATCACGCACCATCACCACCCCTCCCCCACCACACAACCCACCCGTGAAGAGCGGTGTGCAGACGCAGGCCCGGTGGGTGCAGCGTCCGTTGTTGGAGCAGTGGTGGGGACACGCGACTCTCTCACACGCCTCACCCGCCCACTCCTGGTCACACTCACACACGTCCCCAGCACACCTGCCCTGACCACTGCACTCCGACCACCCACCCGTGCTGTTCACCCCACCTGGGCACCCACCAACCCTGCACACACAAACACAGGATTAGTATAAGAAATAGTTTTCACCACGAAAAAAATAGTAGTAAATAGTATTAATAATTAATTAATAGTAAATAGTATTATTTCGAAAATAAATATGTTGAAATAAATTATTTAATTCAGCATAGCTTGAGAACTGTTCTTATTACTTATAAACCTGTTAATGGAGTTGCCAGCAAGCTACCAAAAGAGACTGCAAACACATTTATACTTTTACAAGGTTGACTTACAATACGGCAGTCATGGCAGAGTGGGCTGGTAAAAAATAGATATGACAGAGTGGGCCAAGAGCTTCAATAGTAGTATAGGCGACCAGCAATACAAAGTGGGAACCACACCAGTGAGGAAAACACGACATAGTGAACTAGCAAGCAAGTCAGATTCGGCTAGCTACCATGGCCGTGTGGGCTGGCAAGAATGACAGAGCGGGAGGGCAACCCTGGTAATGTGTGCTAACAAGCACGTCAGAGCAGTCTGGCAACCAAGCTACAGAGGTTGGCAACCATGCTACAGCGGTTGGCAACCATGCTACAGCGGTTGGCAACCATGCTAGAGGTTGGCAACCATGCTACAGAGGTTGGCAACCATGCTAGAGGTTGGCAACCATGCTAGAGGTTGGCAACCACACTACAGAGGCTGGCAACCACACTACAGAGGCTGGCAACCATACTACAGAGGCTGGCAACCACGGCAGAGTAGGCTAGCACTAGCAGCTTGTAGAATGTGGAGCCCACGACGGCAGAGTGAGTGGGCAGCACCCACCTGTAGTGGATATCAAAGCCAGTGAGGTTGTACGCTGCGTCCGAGTAGAAGTGGATGAGAGCATAGGGCGACGACAGCTCAATCTCAGGCTGCTGTGTGGCGCTGTACCCGCCTGACACCACCAGCCCACTGCACACAAACGTCATGCTTTGTTTAATGGGATATTACGGGCCTTATTTTATGTTTTAGGCTTTAATCAAGAGAACATAACAAATACCGGTACTACCTCATTGTTAGATAATATTGGCAATGACATACCTCTTCATTAACTTGGTACTTCATTCAGAGTATTTACTACAATAAATGATTAAAGTAAATCATAAGAAATATTAAAAGCTCTTAAAATAAGTAAGCATTTAAAATTAAAAATAGTTGTAGCTGGGAAATATGCTAACATTATTTTGCAAGACCTTAATAACTAACATTGTGGCATGTCATCAATAAGAAAACCAGTGAAGAAATGTTCAACAGATTTTCACGCTTCTCACACAAACAATGAATCTTTCTACATATGACTCTTCATTCTTGATACACTAATGCCATGACAATCTGTAGGCATAAAAAGACTTCATGATTTACACATAATTAAATTAACCTTGGCAGCATTGACACTGACTTAACACGTTAAGTGAGGCAACAACACACAGCGCTGGCAGCTGGCCTAAAAACGGCCAAGTCCGCTGCTAAAAAGTCCTCTAATTCTAATTATACTACTAAAATTGTAGGTTCAGGTGCAAAAATTAAATTTTCCTTTTTAGTACATTTCATATTTTAACAAGGCAGTACTGCCATCATAAATTTTTGTCGACAAACACAATGGAAACTAAATTGCGGAATTTATTCGGAAAAAAGACCCTGCCACCCACCTGTGGGTCATCCCACACTTAATGTATTAAACCTCAAGACACTCGGAGTTTGGTTATGGCAATGCTCACAGCCTTTCTAAATCAATACCATTGAGGCACATGATGCACATCATCCACTACCCTACAGTGGCCATTGTATTAAGAGAACTGCCAACACTTGGGGTACATTTAATGTTGGGCCTGTCAGACTGCTACCATACTGCCGGGGGCTGACCAAGCTTTCTTAGTACAGGATCATGCTGCAGCTCATGTATGGCAGTGATGCCTGGCTTCATTATGGGATCAGATTTTCCTGGTATGCAGGTCCTCAGTGATGACAGTATGATTGATGGATCAATTTTGTGAGTGGTCAGCAACCATTTAATGGTGATGCAAAACAAATGTAGTTGAGGACCCTAAGCTGATATAGGTAGCAAAAGAGCACAGCAAAAAGGTTAAAGCAGAAGAATACAGTTCTCTGCACCTCAAGTGCCTGCTTGCTCTTCTTGCTAGGATAAGAACCAGGCAGACAGGCTGTCCCAACACACCCACCTGTACACCACACGCAGTGGTGCAAATACGCTGTCGCCATCATATATATAAAGATGGTCCCAGGAGCACTCAGTAGCAAAGTGCCCCAGGTGCAGCCTGATCTTTTGGGATGAGCCTGCAAGGAAAAATTGCTAAACGACAAAGTTTTCAAGACAGTTACTAATTCATTGCACATAAAATACTTTAAATATTCTTATAACTATAGGTAGGTTGATATTCATGATATATATTTGTGGGTAGGAATAAAGTCTAAACTGAATTTTGAAATTTGGGTGTAAGTCTCTCCTAGCTTAAAAAATAAATGGGTATACATAAGTATGAGAAAAAACAACTAAATATCTGAGATATGTATCATTCCCTTGCAAACAGGCATAAAGCATTGATTATCACTCACAGGATTATTGTCAGAAAATGTTACATCCAAGTAGCTTTGCCATGCCAAGAAAAACAGGTCATTATTCTCCACCTGAGCTAAGACTATTATATATCCTACCAGAATAATAAAATGCTCGACTTGATGGAAATAAGTCAATTCAGTGGTTTCTATATATAAACTCTATCACATAATTAGATACAATTGCACCCAGCTCACCAGCTGAAGAGTTGAAGAAGCTGGCATTGGGGGCAGAGATGACCCAGCTGCATTGGTTGTTCTCAGTGTAGTTGCCAGGGTCGTCATAGAAGACGCCCTCCCTGCCACTCAAGCTGCAAGCAATGGACAAGATTGACATGGGACAAGCAATTGTGAATGACAAGGGCAGTCATAAGTGACATGGACAGTCATAAGTGACATGGGCAGTCATAAGTGACATGGGCAGTCATAAGTGACATGGGCAGTCATAAGTGACATGGGCAGTCATAAGTGACATGGGCAGTCATAAGCGACATGGGCAGTCATAAGTGACATGGACAGTCATAAGTGACATGGGCAGTCATAAGTGACATAGGGTGGTCAAGGACATAAAAACATGTCCTTTTTATGGAGAATTTATCTAAGTGCTTAATTTAGCTTCTATGTTGCCAGAGTGGGTGTTTCTTTTTAGATGTTAAAAGTTGTTATAAACAGCAAAGAATAAAGTTTGTGAATGGATCAAGAAGCCTGAAAAATGAGAAAATATCCATGAAGTAAATATGCTGCTGAGAAATTAAGTTTTTATGCTATATTTTTAGGCAATTACCTTGCATTGTAAGTGTGAGCTTTGCCTCTCATTTTTTAATGCATGAATATTTATACATTCAATAGATTTTAACCTGATCAAGACAATAAAACTACCATAGAAGAAATCTTTTAGCTGCAGTTATATCAATTTTTTTCATAAATTTTAAAACTTACAGCTAAATACCGGTAGTAGTATAGTTTCATCAAAAATTAAATTCGAGATAATTCCTCAAGTGGGACTCATATCGCACATAAGTATAGAAAAGCTTGAATTGCAGCATTAAAAGCAAATATTTTTCCTGCCAGTAAGATAGCAAAACTAGAAACTAGAGGCATGGAATAATCTACGTACTACTTTAGAAGCTGCAAGTGCAAGAAGCTCACATTATTAATGAAGCTGTACAAATTCTACTTGATACAAGCTGGAAAATTGGGCAAAGTCATCCTTGACAGAATTGTCTGCTCGTAAAAAACTTCACCTGTTCCTATGGCCCATCAGGCACAAGCCATGCCTAATTTCTCATAAGAAATCAAACTAGATTATATACTTTTGCCTGAAATTTTCAACAAATCATCAATGAAACAATTATTTTTATCTACAATTTTAAGAAAATACTGCCTTATATTCCAGATTGTTAATTTTGGTTTGACTAAGTAACATGAAGATTTTCAATCTTGGAGTTGTGTCCTGGTGTCAGACCAATTTAGAATGATGGGCAAAAATTGTCTAAAATTGCAGACTTTTTTTATTGGTATAAACAGTCATTTCACAGGTGATTTTAAAAAATTGAGGGTAAAAATAGACAGTTTAAATGATTTATCACAGAATAAATTGAAAAATACCATAAGAACAGGAGAAATGGGCCAGATTTCTGCCATTTGTATCCAATTCACTGGAGCTTTTGCCTAATCATCCACTTTGGGTGTCAGACTGTCAGACCTTCAACAAATAAATAAAATGAAAATAAAATAAATAGCTTCAGCCACAGTCTCTTCAAGCTGGTCCTTGTGGCCCATGTTGTGGTGCTTGTTCTGACCACTTTGGTCTATGGTAATGCCTCACTCTATGGTCACATGGTCTAAATTAACTGCAATCCATAATGAATACTGATGGGCAACTTGTGAGCAATAAGCAAAATTTTGCCCATGTGACACCAATATTGCACAATCTCCACAGGCTGTGCCTGCAGCAGCACATGCAGTTCAAGGTTCAAGGCCTCCTTATCTCATGAAATGTCTGTAGCACACATTGGACCTGCGTTATAGAAGACAACTGTGTTTGTCATTAACAGCAAACCTTGTAGTTCCATCTACACTCCTAGCTACCATTGGCAACAGAGCATTCCTGGTTGCCACCACCAGATTCTGGAACAGTCTACTGGCTTTTATAACATTGACTCCTTCATTTCAGGTGTTTGGTTGATGCCTTAAGACAGAGCTATTTTGTAGAGCCTATGAATCAAGTGCTAAGTAATTTTTATACATTCTCATCCTTTCTTGTGTCTCTTTATTTTTTGCTTGCTATTAAACTAATACCGTAAACTGGGGTAACTTAGACTCCCGGGGTAACTTAGACCACTTTTCGTTTTTTTAACAAAAACCCCCAAAACTCAAAAACTATTTGACATAGAAAAATTCTGTCAATGGGCATTAAAGGCCTAATACTGAGGCTAAGTAATACAATAGAAATATTTAAAAAGTTTGCATATCTAATAGGTTAAAAAATTTAAAATGTGACCCACGAAAAAAAGCTATTTTTTAAAGCCTCTCAGAGTACCCCCTCCAATTTTTTTATTTTTTGGCAAAATAACTCCAGGTTTTGATGCATTGTAGTACAACTCTTCTAGTTACATATGCAACAAACAAATTTGAGGAAAGTCTCATAGTTTGCAAATGGGGGGCGCCACCCCCCAATGGGGGAACTTAGACCACCTAATGTCAGCCCTGACGGGGTAACATAGACCGGATAGATAATTAATTTAAAATGACCATATATAACATATTTTATGTTTGATACACCTATTAATGTATTTTCTTTATGTTTCAGACTCTACAGACTCTAATTATTGTTAGATATAGAGTTTAAACTTATAAGTATTGACCTTAGTTCAAGATGCCTAGGACCTACAAACGTCCAAAGGGGGCTCGTACCTACCAGAATTACAGTGGAGATCTTATTGATAAAGTAGTGCAGAGCATCAAAGACAAGGAATTAAGTTTGACAAAAGCTGCGAGTCAGTATGGCATCGGTAAGGGTGCTCTTTTCAACAGAGTGCATGGAAAAACTGTGCTTAGTCCTGGACGACAGACTATTCTCTCACCGGTAGAGGAGGCGCTTATAGTGAAGAGGACTCTTCAGTGCAGTGACTATGGCTTCCCTCTCCAACCAATGGACTTACGCATCATAGTCAAAAGCTACCTTGATTCAGAAGGGCGCACCATTCCCATGTTTTCTTTGAATTTGCCAGGCCCAGACTGGGCCCTGTCCTTCATTAAGCGGCATAGTGAGATCAGCAAGAGAGTATCCAATGATAGTAAAAGGAGCAGAGCATCTGTGGGGGAGGCAGAGTTGAGGGATTACCATGAAAGGTTAACAATCAAGCTCCAGGGCATTCCTCCCAGTCATATCTTTAATTACAATGAGATGAACCTAGCAGACAATACCAAGACCACAAGATTCTTATATCGCAGAGGTGTCAAGTATCCTGACCGGGTTATTAATATGAGCAAGAGCTGCCTCACGATGATGATGTGTGGATCTGCTGATGGTACATTGTTGCCACCTTTCATAATATACAAAAGTGACAACCTCTACACATCATGGATACAAGGAGGTCTAAAAGGAGATCCTTGCTGTCATTTTCGCTGCTGTAAGAACGGCACACAATTCCATCACACAGCCAGTGGCTGGATGGATGCTAATGCTTTCCAAAAGTGGTTTAGTGAACTCCTCTTGCCTCACCTTCAAAACCTGGATGGTCCCAAGGCTGTTATTGGTGATAATCTGAGTGCTCACTTCTCAGAGACAGTACCTACTCAAACTAGCAGAAGACAATGACATCAAGTTTATCTGCCTTCCCCCTAACTCCACAGATAAAACACAGCCACTGGATGTGGCCTTTTTTGGACCTATGAAGAAGGCCTGGAAACATGTCCTGGAGGAGTTCAAAGTAGAAAACCCATCTTTAAGCATAGTGAACAAGCACGTATTCCCAAAACAGGTGAACAAACTCTTGAAACACCCTTCATTCTATCCAAACATTGAAAAAAACCTGAAAAGTGGCTTCAGGGCTACTGGGATTTTCCCCTTAGACATAAATAACCTGCTTCGCAGACTGGGCAACATCCGTACCGGTACTCGTAAAGATGCCACACCTGTCTTATCACGGGCTACCAGTTCCACTACATCCTCTTTCCTTGCAATTGAAGAATCACCTGAAGCAAGCAGTCTTTCAAATACCTTTGTCAATTACCTTGCAGAGAAGAAGTTTCCAAAATGTGCTAGCGGAGGTCGTCGTGGAGGAAGAGGAGCAAAAATTCAAGCTGGCACTCGTATTGTGTCAACAATAAGCCAAGATGAAGCTGAAGTATCTGGCCAATCCACTTTTGATGTGCACCCTTCAACATCAAAAGATCTATCTGCATACGCAGTTCGACAGAATGTTAAGAGGAAACTGAATTTGCTTGCAAGGAGAGATAATGCTGAGTCAGAGAGCACAGACATGGATACTGACCCAGATTCAGAAGAAACATATGATGTCAGGCCTACACGCTCCAGAAGTGCCAGAGTATTGACACCAATGCTTTCACCAGCAGGCACACCATCAAAGGTGCAGAAAGAAATACCCTCTCCTACTTCTGGGACCCCTACAACAGGTAATATACAGGAATAGTTAGCTACTATTAGGTATGTTTATTTATTTGAAATGTGTTAAAAAATGAAAAATTTTTTTGTTAGTTGTGTGTTCATTGCTAAGAAGTTAATATTGTATTCCCTGTACAGGTACACCAGCAGGCAGCAGGCACACTATCTAAGGTGCAGAAAGAAGTACCCTCTCCTAGTTCTGGGACCCCTACAGCAGGCAATACATCTGACAAAGTGAAACCCACCCCTACCAAGAAATTAAAAACAACTGCTCGTATCAGTGCCACTGATGAAGGATCCTGCACCTCAACAATAACTAAAAGCAGTGCACTTAAAGTGGGTAGCTTTGTGATTACCAAAGTCTATGTCAACAACAGCAGTGACAAACATCGAAAATATTTAGCCACTGTTGAACAGTCTGATGAGACTGAGGTGTCTGTCACATTCCTCCATGCAAGTGAATCCAAGACTGTATTTACAGTGGCTAAAGATGACACAGCCTCAGTGGAGATGAAGGACATCTGTGAAATAATTGATGTGTCTTATAAGTTTAATAGCAGAGAGCAGTATGTGTTCAATGCTGCTCTTGATGCAAGTCTGTAGGCATTAGCTTACCTACGTCAGTCTTTCAGTCTTTATTTACCAAAAGAACATTTTTTATGTTATGTTAATGCTGCTCTT